CCCTCACACGTGTGTTGCAGGATGCGATCCACAGAGGCCAGCAAAGATGGTCATCGAGAAGATGCCCTGATGCAGCAACGCGGTGCCTTGGGAGCGTGGGAGCAGAGTGGGAGACAGAGGGAAGAAGAGGCCAAGAAGCAGCAGGAGCAGCATCAGCAAGTTTTGCTCAAGGTGGTGGACCAAGAGTCAGGTGAATCTCAAAAGACGCAAAGGATAGCGCGCTTGCACTGACGCTGTTCTTGTATGTCCTCGTTTGCAGCACCGCGCAACCCTCTTGGCGTTCAGCTGCTCTCCAGAAAGTTGCATCGACAAATTTTTCCTCCCAATTCGGATCCCGCACCGCCCGTGCATGCCGATGCCCTCTCTGTCAGCCAATCGCACCTCTCGACGCACGGGCTAGAAGCATCTCAAGCTTCAGTTCTTCCTTCTCTCGCTTTCGATCTGCCTCCTCTGCAAGGCAAAGACCTCAGCGAGCATTTTTGGAACATTGGTCGACAGGCTGCACAGCCTTGGCTAGGCATGGCACATGAGTTGGCTGCTGCTACGCTCCTCGCAGCGCCAGAGGGCGTGCTCGATCCGCGCAAGGAGGCGCTGCAGAATCCCGACGACCACGACGACGACGATGGGCTCACACCTCAAGAGTGGCTGGCCGTCGAGGACGACAAAATCAGAAACAAGTCGCGCTTGAATCCTCCTCGATGGGTCAGACGACCCGGGTGGACTCGTTACCCTGTACTCAAGTCGGCAGATGGAAAGAGAAGTGTGCTAGGACCTGGCGAGGCGGTGGAATACCCATGTCCAGAGGATGGTGCCTTGGTATTCGATATCGAAAACATGGTCAAATCCGGACCGTGGTCCGTCATGGCTACAGCAGCCGGGCCGAATGCTTGGTACTCTTGGCTCAGTCCCTGGCTTCTCGGCGAGGGCGAGGATCACACACGCAAAGATCAACTTATCCCTTTTGGACCCAATTCCGAAGAGGAGCACGTCAATCGACCTGCACGGCTGATCGTCGGTCACAATGTCAGCTATGACCGAGCGAGAATAAGAGACGAATACACTTTAAGGAGGGGCAATATGCGATTCTTGGACACCATGGCTTTGCACGTCGCGACAAGAGGGATTAGCAGTCCGCAACGACCCGCCTGGCTGCGTCACGCCAAGAATCGACAAGAAGCGCTGGCCAAGCAGAAGCATCAAAAGTCCCAGTACGAACAGGCTTCGCGAGAGGGCATAGCCGAGTTGCTCGGCGTCAACATGACTACTGAAGAACTGCAGGCCATCGAGATTCCTGATGACATTGGCAGCTCGGGCCGTTTTGAAGGTGCCACAGCAAGCAAAGGAGAGGATACACTCGCCCGCGAGGCTGCTTCCAACGCAGCTTCCAGCCTGTGGCTCGATGCGACTTCCAACAATTCTCTTGCTGACGTGGCTGAACTTCACTGCGGCATACACGTGTCCAAAGTCGCTCGCAATGCTTTTGTGGAAGCAAAAAGCAGAGAGGAGATTCTTGACCGACTGGACGAGCTGTTGAGCTACTGTGCCAAGGACGTCTCGGTAACACATGCCGTTTTTCGCAAAGTGTGGCCCACTTTCCTTTCGCACTGTCCTCATCCTGCTACAGCGGCGGGAGTGTTGGGCCTTGGAAGCACGCTACTCCCAATTGACGATGAATGGGTGGAGTACCAGGAAAAGTGTCAAGCAAAGTATGAGGAGTCCCATTCTCAGATCGCAACATCTCTCAAGGAGCTAGCAGAAAGCCTCCGCAACGAGTATACGCAGGGCGTGACGTGGGATCAGGCAATGTTGGCGGCGAAAGCCAAAGCAGAAGCTGCAAATTGGCCCGTCGACGCCGATTTCAAGGCAGGCCGAGCTCTTTTGGAAGCCGAAAAGCAAAGAAGCTGGATGCGATGGGAGACTGATCCATGGGCTTCGCAGCTGGACTGGACCCCCAAAAAGCCCAAAAAAATCAAGCCGAGCGCCGTCTCGATGGCTGGCACAGCGGCCTCAGGACCGGAAGAGTCGATCGCACCGGGTCATAGGCGCGTACCAAAATGGTACAAGACATCCGTGCTTTCTACCGCCAAGGGCATCGGACGCACCTCAGGAGTCGCGCCACTCATTGCCCAGTTGAGAATTCAGGAGGGGTATCTTCTGCAAGACGGAGATGGAGATTGGGTGATGCGCGATTCCGAAGGTGATCACGAGCTGGGATCGGCTCCGCTTAGAGCGCCTTTCATCAAGGCGAGAGCGTGGGAGATGCGAAGCGACGCAGGCCCTGTGGGCGATGAGCTTCTAGAAGCTTTGCAGGCCAGCAAGGTGGTCGATAAGGACGTTCGACAAATTTTTCGGCGCATTGCAGACGAGCTTGTAGAAAAGTGGCTGGATAGCGACGCTTCCAAAGGTCAAGGATTCGCGCCCGAAGAATCACATCCTGCCCTTCTCGATCTCGACTGGACGTCAACCGACGTGCCAACCGAGGAAGCCAAAAGGGAGGCCGACAACGCTGGTTCAGCACCTGGATCCTGGTGGCCGAAATGGTACTGGGATCTGTACCAGTCTTCTACCGGCGAGCTCGACGTCACGATCAAGTCGGCGACAGCTCCCTTGCTACTTCGACTCAGCTGGCAAGGCTGTCCACTTTTAAGAAGTCGTGAACACGGCTGGATTTTTCGACACGATGCCAACAGCCATCCCAACTTCAAAACTCTGCGCGAGCCCGTCTACTTCTTCCACAATGATGTCGACGTGAATCTGCGCTACGACGCCAATATGAAGAAGGGCAGAAGCTACTACAAGCTTCCTCATCCATCTGGAGACGACTCCAATGTTGGATCGCCATTCACCAAACCGTTTTTGCCCCTTTTCGAGAACGGCACGATGAAAAGCGAGTTGACAGACGAGGCTGGCAGAGACACGGCCAAGGCTGGGCTGGCTATGCAAGCTCAGTGCAGCTACTGGATTGGTGTGAGGGATCGCGTCTCGAAGCAAATGGTCGTTTGGGATGAAGAAGGAGGCACTCGCATGGGATTCAAAAAGGGTGCAAGCGGTGCTAGAGGCGGTGTTCCTTCGGGCACCATGGCCATGAGCGAGTCGGAGATGCAAGCCTATTCGAGGGACTGCCACCGTCGGAAAGGGATCATTCTTCCCAGCGTGGTATCCATGGGTACGGTCACCAGGCGAGCTATTGAGCGGACATGGCTGACGGCATCTAACGCCAAGCCAAACCGCGTGGGCTCTGAGCTCAAAGCGATGGTCAAAGCTCCTCCGGGCTGGTCCATCGTAGGGGCTGATGTCGACAGCGAAGAGCTCTGGATATGCAGCGTCATGGGAGATGCTCAATTTGGCATTCACGGAGCAACTGCTATTGGTTGGATGACGCTCGAAGGCACCAAAGCGTTGGGCACGGACTTGCATTCCAAGACCGCTTCCATTCTCGGCACTAGTAGGAACCAAGCCAAAGTTTTCAATTACTCTCGTATATATGGCGCTGGCATCAAGCACGCTACCCAACTCATGATGAAGGCAGATCCAGCAATGACTAAAGATGCAGCAGAAGGTCTTGCAAGGGACCTGTACATCAAGACAAAGGGCACCAATACAAATACAGCGAATTTGTTCGGTAGGCGGTTTTGGTACGGCGGCAGCGAAAGCTTCGTGTTCAACAAGCTCGAAGAAGTGGCTTTGAGCGAAAATCCTCGCACGCCCGCTCTGGACTGCGGAATCACTCTTGCGCTTTCCAAGCAGTACCTCAATCAGGGCAAGGCTCCGACGGGAAAAGCGCAAGAAGAGTTCATGCCGAGCAGAATTAATTGGGTTGTGCAGAGCAGCGGTGTCGACTACCTTCACCTGCTGCTCGTCTCCATGGAATACTTGTGTCAGATCTACGGCATCAAAGCTCGCTTCATGCTCAGCGTCCATGACGAGGTGCGCTACCTGTGTCCGGACGAAGACAGGCATCGCTGCGCAATGGCGTTGCAGGTTGCCAATCTTTGGACGCGCGCCATGTTTGCCCACAAGCTCCAGATGGACAATCTGCCACAAGGAGTCGCTTTCTTTGCTGCTGTAGACGTCGACAAGATTTTGCGAAAAGAGGCCGATGATGCTTGCGTCACGCCAAGTCAACCCGACGCGATTCCACCTGGCTACACGCTCGATGTGGAGCAGACATTGGCGAGGACGAACGGCGGCTCACTTCATGCTGACGGCAGGTCCAACTTGCATCAAGCGCCGATGCGCGAGCGCCCATGCGAGGATCCGTCACGCCTGAGCGGATTCTACGGCGCTTCGGGCAGTTCGCTTTCCTCCAACGCGCCGATGGAACCTGTATACGTGCGCTCGGATCAGACACACCGCTCTGATGGTGAGCGTGGCAAGCTCTACTTACAGGCTCAAGCAGCAGAGGACCTTGCAGAAATTCGCCTGTTGGAGCGTCGGGCCAAAGAGGCTGAGCGAGGGGATCGCCAAGATGCAGTCTCCAAAGACCCCGCAACACGTCGGTCCAACTCCGCTCCGCTCCCTTCTACGACAGCAGCTGCCAGACCAAGCATAAGTGCAAGTGCAGGCGGTGCGAGCAAGTCTCCCGTCGCTAGCTTTCACACTTCTGCTCGCAGTAGCGCATTTGTTACAACGGAAAACCCTGCTGCGCAATCGTACTTGCCAAAAACGCTTCACGCGATCGTCAAAGCTTTTCCGCGACGAGCAGCGCGCCTTCGCAAGCCGTTCTATCTACTGTCGGAGCATCGCGCTACCGTGCGCTGGGCACTCTACCGTCCGCTCTTGCAAGCTGCTCCGCCAGATTTGCCTCTGCTGACCAAATGGATCCGACACGCCTTCAAGAGAAGCAAGAACATCACCAGCCCAGCAGAGGCGCTGGCTCAGATCGAGCTCGCCGAAACGATGCTTCGGATGTGTGACAAGGCGAAAGAGGGTGAGCAAGAAGCTCGGATAGAATTGGAAGCTTTTTGTCAATCCCTGCGCAATCAACAAGACCTGGACAAGTCGGGCCAAGCTTTGAACTTACACTTGCGAGAACAGACTCCGCGGCCCGTGCCTCGCCATTCTGGGGCTCTTTTGCCTCCTACATTTGCCAATCCCCCTCTTCCACGCTACAAGCCGGTTCAGCCCATAGGTATCAGCATGATGATTCGTAGGCGCAGAATGGCTCGTTTCAAGCGGATCATGGCAAGGTCGGACCTGGATGTGCTTTGGGACTCTGTCAAGTTCGAATGCGAGTTGATGAAGCGTCTTGGAGGGGGACACGCAGAAGCTACGGGCTGGGATCGTGCGGAAAGCTGGAGTGAGTCAATGTGCGGCTTTCTTGATTCCTCTCTCGTGCTTTGGGTGGCTGACCGATTTGAGACATCGCGCACGACTAGGACCTCAATTTGACGAGCGCATCGATACCTGGCAAGCGGCGTACGACAGGGAAAAAGCTCGAGCTCAATTGGTCTTTCCGCGCCATACATTGATCCTGGCTAAAAGGGCTCGTCTTGCAAAGCAAAGGGCACGTCTGAGGCGCAAGCAAGCGCTCACGAAGCTGCGTGACTTGGCAGAGGATGGAGAATCTCCGCGGGCGTCGTCGTCGTCGTCGTCGGCTCCGCAAACAGTCAATGATGCCGTATCCGCAACGCTGTAGTGAACGACATGTGTCGATTTATACATCCAATGATACCCATGTGCTGCTGCTGCTGCTGCTGCTGCTGCACATCATGCTTCGCAATCAAGGCCGACATCGAGGACCAGCGCGCCCGCGCGAGGAAATGCAGAGATCGAGCACGAACACTGGGATTCTGTGCTGACGATTGATACGATCGTGCGAAGATCACCGACGCGTCCCTTGACGCGTCCAGCACACCGATGCTGCGCGCAAAAGTGTTGGTTTGCATGGCGCGCGCATCGCCCCACGCTAAATTTAAGTTGAGACTTGTGGTTGCTGAGCCGAAGGGTTCGTATGTGGAGGCTTACCATATAATTTGAGAACAACTCTGTATCAAGACCTTCTTGCAGAGTCAGCCTTCGTTGTCGAGTTCATCCGATGGGAGTGCATCGCTAGAAACGCCAAGTATGAGCCTGCTGAATCTGTGAGTAAATCTTTGCCACCGTTTACCACGCACCACAGACCGTCTCGTTCACATGAACATCAACTTTGAACATACCTGCCCGAGATAATCAAAACACGCACTTCGTAATGGTGAGCACGCGACGCAAAGGGAATGGCGAGAAGCCGGCGACGGATGGGAAGGGAAATGTGAAGCTGGACAGCGTGATGCAGAGCAAAGGCGGTCGTGATTCTGCCGAGGAGCAGCAGAATTTAGGCAAGTCTGAGCAGAAGGTGGGAGCAAAACGACGGCAGGAGGATGAAGAGCAGGAGGCTAAGCAGGAAAAGGCGCAAAAGAAACACTATGGAGCGTCTGCCGCTTCTGATGGACATGCGAATGCGACTGGAGACTCGCAAAAGGCGCAGGAGGTGCCGCAGCCTGCTCAGGATGCTAAATTGTCGCCGGGCAAGGAAGATGCCGGCGCAGGACAGGACGACGCGCCTTGGGAGGTGCTGGAAAAGGGACAGTGAGCGATGGGCGTAAAAGCCACAACATGGCGTGACGCGCTTTGTGCTCATGCCACTCCATCGCCGTACCACACAGCGTCTTTTTCTTCTACAGACCCAAAGTCAAGAGTGCGCATGAGGTGGACCAATCGGGTAAAGCTGCCGAGTCTTTGGATGATGTTCAAAATGCGCACATGTGAGCGTCGGCTTTTGCGATCTGGCGCCAGGTAGGGCACTTGAACCGATGATGTTGACTTTGCTGTTCTACCGCTTCTGCTCGCACTTGTCGCATTCAGGCTGCTACTGCCCCACGCCAGTCGATCCGAGACTGCTGGAGCAGATGCTACCAAAGACTCTAACGGATCCGACGTTCAGAGCGCGACAAATGGTCAACAAAATGCAGCTGCAGGTACGACGGGGGACAAGGCCAAGCAAGATGGTGTCGGCTTCAGAGTGGTGCGGTTGGGAAAGAAGAGACTCCCAGCGCCCGAGGTGGCCATCGCGAATGGACAGCAGCCCGGTGGCATTGGCGGCGACTCTAGCGAGACGTGAGTGCATGGGAGCTTTTTCGAGGAGAGCGAATCTCGTCGCTTTCTCAATCTATACTGAGCGGTCGAGCCCTTCGATCTGCGCGCCACAGCGTGTGGTCAGTCGTTGCGGATGTTGGGCCCGATCCAGCTGTCCTAGCTGGCTCGATGGGCGAGCAGCGGTACAATACCAGGACGCAAGGCGAGAGGGTGGTAGGCCCGAGCAGACCAGCAGGACGTGGGTGGTACGCTCTCTCGCTTCACAAGTCTGAACCGCCCTCATCGCGCCAAGTCAGACTATCATTCTCTATTTCTCATCCGTCTGAGGATGAGTTTGGTAACGTTCAATCTCAGCTCGGCCTGACGCCGAGCGGAAGCTTCAGCCTTTCCATGAGGAACCCCACGTTGCCTTCTACGGGCGCTGGTGCTCCACCCGCAGGCTTGGATGAATCTGCTCGCGTGCAAATGAGCGAAAAGGAGATTCAGGACACGTTCGGAGGCGATGCGGAGGGCAATGGAACAAGATACGCTAGGCCTGAACAGATCGAGTTGTTGGACAGGGAAGGTGTAGAGTTGCTCCTGATTCGCGAGGCTGCTCAGACCTCCAAGGGAGGCGCAAAGACGGGCACTGGCGAAGAGCAGGCCAAGGGTGAGTTTGGCAGTCTCCAGCATTCTGCGCAGGCTGCATGGTGCAGCGTGCGAGTCCATTGAGCTCTTTGCTGATGCCTGCTACTTCTTCCCACGACGCAGCTTTGAAAGAGCTTGCAAGTGAGTGGAGTGTGACGGAAAGGCCTTTGTGGCTCGTCAGGAGTAAGACTGTTGACCCCCTCGCTCCACCCTGCTCGTAATGGTGCGATCAGCTGCCGATGCCGATCGTCTTAGCACGCATGATGTGCTGGCACAGCTCAAAATGACTGCGAAGAGTAACCCGCCAAACGCCTTGGAGGGGCAGTGGGTCTAGGGTCGAGAGGATGGACGTAGAAGATAGCGTGCGTGGAAATATCCATATTCCTTCTTCAGCTTTGAGATTGCTGGTGACGTGCTTTCAGAGCGCGATCTAGGCAATCCACATCTCACTTCTCCGCCTTGATCTTTGAGGCTTTTCCTCTGCACTTCAAAGAGCGCTCGTCCAGCTCTACCAAATTCGCTTTTCCATCCAAGATCGCATGTCCTAGCTCTATGCATTCTCGCAGCTGTTCTTGCGTGAGCTGATGAATGGCCGCTTTCTTTTGGTCTGGAATCTTTTCCTTCCAGGGAGCTGTTCCTTGACCCACGACAGAGTCTAGTATGATGCGAAGGAAACAGTGATTCAGATGCACTGGCCACTTTTCCTGAGAAGAGGATTTGGAACGAGCAGCGCTTGGAAGCGTGCTGTTCATCAGTTCGCTGTACTCCGCTTTCAGTGCGTCCATCTCGTTTTCCCTTTGATGTGGCTTCGCAAGCGATTGCCGAGTTCTGCTTCTTCTTCCCCGCGCCTCGGCTACGCGTTGATGAAGATGAACGAAGGACGAGATCGACTCACTCTCGGGGAGCTGATGCAGAGCAGCAAAGGCGAGCGCGATCGCGCAGACCTTGGAAGGCGGCTTTGAGCCAACGAATATGGAAGATTACGTACGCCTACATGGGGGAACCTCCAATTGTAGGATCACGTGACAGAAGAGCCTACGCCTACTTTGTCCGCCCTTCGACCTTTGAAACTCTTCGAGTTCTTGAATCAAGAATCGCTACACTACCCACGACTCATGAACATGCATGCTGCGCTTTGAGACTCGAGACTCACACCTCGTAGCAAAGAGAGAGAGAAAGAATTGTTGTGCTACGCCACTGGACCTTAGTTGAAGCCCGCACGCCCGTCTCGACGGCTCGCGAGGACTTGGATCCAGCCTGGGGGCGGAGGGCACGGTGAACAGATTGGCAAGAGCAATTAGTGAGCATGATTCGCGCCTAGCAAATGTATAGGTACACGGTCAGCGTGTCACAATCAAAATCAAGAGTTGGCTTTGATGAAGGCCCAGTCACCCACCGAGGGTGTGAAAGACATGCGTGCCCATAGCTTGAGCTTTACATAAGCTTTGAAGCCTTTTCGGCCTTTGGTCTCGGCGAACCGTTGGACCTAGCGCAGCAAATGAGGACTACAGTACTTTAGCAGGATGATGCTTTGGATCTGACTCCAGGTCACACGGCGAGATGAGGCTAGAGAGGGTCGGAGCTGGCTATTAGGCACTCGATGAGTCTAGGAGGCAGGGCCGATGGGAGGTGGTCGGTGAGCTCTATATTCGCGCAAACTTAACCAGTGTAAGTCCCCTATGACAGGTGCAGTAGGACGCTGCGACGGCATGCCGAAATGCTGAATGCTAGCCCGACCGACGAGTATGCCACCGTTCAGCGAGTCTCGAG